GGTTAATTTAACGGTTTATTGGTTTCTATTTTCGTTGTGAAAGGCAAGGTATCAATATATATAAAAATTGTATTCAACAAAGCATACAATAAAGAATGTATACGAAAAAGCATGCAATGAGTAAGACGAGAGTTGTCTCTCTTTGACTATCAAAGTCTATCAAAGTTCTTAATGAAAGAGTTATTAGTCTGTTATAAATGTTTTTAAACAGTTCTGCCGTGCAAGAGGAAAATTATGTAAGTGTGATAGAATATGCAGTTTGAAAGTTGAGTGAGAAGATGGGCGCATAGCTTCAACGTTATTTCTGTGGCAGCTTTCTGATGCGGTTCCTCTTTTCTTAAGTTTATATAGGTGGTCATTGAATTATTCCATGTAGAGAATCTGATTTCTTACTGACCAATCAGTCATGAGTGTGGAGGTCATTGACCGATTCTCCCAAAATTCTCAAAATCTACTATATGAAAAATAGCGATTTTAAAATTGTCGCTATATTTTCGATAGTAGACCAATCATCTTCCTGTCCATGAAGATTTGAATTTGTAAGTGTGTATGTGTGGATAAATCGATTAAATCTTCCATAAGATAAAAGTACAAATAGTTAAAATTCTGAAAATAAATTATAAACTTCTGTTTATAAATACTTATTGCAAAATTCGATTTCCATCGGAGGTGAAAAGGAGGAAAGTTTTTCTTTCGTCTTTATTCAACACACACACAAACACACACAAATAATAATATATATATATATATTAAATCAGGACAGACTTGGATGGCGAAGGAGAAGACAATGAATTCAAAACCTACGGAGGGTCGTTTTGGGACCTTGAGGCACACGGTGCACCTGGTTTATTCGGGCCTTGGTGTGAACAAAACACCTATTATAATCTACTTACTGGTGTCTGGTTCCTCTTAGGATCTGAGTTGCCTCTCATACGTCAATATAAGTCCATTATATATATATATATATATATATATATATATATATATATATATATATGTTGTCGTGTGTGTGTTTTCTAAATCCTAACGAAAGTCTTTTTAATTTTTTAATTACATTTTACCTATTTGCGGACAAAATCTTGTACATCGTGATGAAAATAGTGGATAAACTGTCCAAAGTTCATCTTAGTTACTTTCTGTTCCAATACTTTCGATCGTTTCATTCATTATCAAAAAATGGATTTTGTCGGTGTAGGAGACAAAATTCTGTTGGTTACATCCTGGTACTGAAATTTGACTTATATATCAAGTATAACGTTTAAAGCAAACTAAACCGCATCCGGCAAAGCATATATCAAATCACCACACCATTATTATTATGTTGTCCACATATTATATTTTAGCACACTTTAAGTTACGTGTCCGTTGGTGAATATATATATATATATATATATATATATATATATATATATATATATATATATATATATATATATATATATATCGTGTGTGTGTATGTATGAAATATATATAAATAAGTAATGTATTTATTTTTAATAACACATTTTTATTACTTCGAACGTAATTATAGTGAATACTTCGTATCACCCAAATTTAAGTATTAAATACATTGCGTCTGTTGACATTCAACAAACGAGGAAAGCTTTGAGAAATATTTCTCGAACAGGCCGATAAACGTAATATACATAAATAGAAATCATTCTATTCGCAAATATCCACTACAACGTTTGAAGTAACATATATATATATATATTATATATATATATATATATATATATATATATTAAACAACATCTTATGCAACAAAATCGCAAATTATTTCAGGGGTGGAGGTTATAGATTTTTTCAACGAAGGAGAAGCACGTTAGTCTTATTCAGGTAGTCTGTGTTAATTTCAATTTAACTTTTATTCAAAAAATAATCGATTTCGATGTTTCAGTCAGACAAAATGGCCGAGTCGGATGGATGAGGCCCTAAAATCAATCTCGACATTAAATTGGGGTTATATGAACAAGATTAAAACTAAAAAAGGGCCGAAAAAAGGTTTATATTAATGAAATTAATTATGCAGAAAAAAGAATAAAAACAAAAAAATACTTAAAATGAGATATATTAAAAAGATTAAAAATAAATCATATTTGATAATTTAAATAATATATATATCTATACACACACACACACATATATATATATATATATATATATATATAAAATAAAACTAAAAACATCAGTAAATTCTTTTTTTTTATTGACAAATAATTGGTTACGATCTTATTCCAAATAAGTTTCCTAAAACGAAACATATTTCAGTACTGCTTTTACGCTTCCAAAGAATAGGTAATGTCCTCTTCCAGAATGCCTCAGCGCGATTCGTGTTTTATAAATGTATTTCTTAATGTTTATGCTTTGAAAAACAAAATTTAAAATCCATTCATATATAGGTATCTCCAAAGAAAAGCGATACCTAAATTTTAAAATGAATTTTTAAAAACGAAAAATCTTTCTTGAAGTTTTTATTTTAGTTTTAATTTCAGGCTTAGATTAAGTTTAATATTTCCAATAAGAAAAAACTCTTTGATGTATTTCAAAACGAATTTAAATTGATTGGAATTATTTTTTGAAATCGCTAAAAATAGCTGATTTCAACTACTTTTATCCATTTAGCCATATTTACAAATTTCTCAGCACAACGTAATTCTCTTTGTTAAAAAATCTTTCAAAAATAAAATATATTTTTCAGAAACTATACTTGAAGAAGATTAGCTGATTTAAACTTTAATTAATCTGCTAGTGTAATGGACACACAGTAAGGATATAATTCGTCAACGAATTAGGTAGACGTTAAGTTTCTTTAAGTTAATGAAGATGGAAGGAATGGTTTTGGATTTGAGCATCTAAACAAAAGGATGTTTTATAAAACCTTGCTTAATTGCAATGCTCTTCGTTGCCGAATCGGTTAAAGCACGTCGGATCTAATGATCCCTCCGAAGAGGACTTTCACTCGTTGCATTTTTTCTTTAATAAAATTTTTGAATATTATCATTTAGACGAAATAAAACAATGTTTAAATTGAACGGGCGCTTGATTTAAGTGTGACACTATAAACTGGTTGTAGTTGAAAGAATTCTGTTCTGAAAAATATTATAGGGACTGGAGATTGAAAGGGTTAAAAACGTTAAAGTGAAAACATGAATTGAAATATGGTGTATGGAAAAAAGAGAATTTTTTTTCTTTCTGATGAACAGAAACGCAAAATGGAATGTTGGGCCCAAATATGATTCATGAAATGTAAAGTGCGGCTGCTTGTCAACTGAAATTCAAATGAAATTGTTATGATTCGCAAAGCCGATAATGTAAACAATCCGAAAATATGATTTAAGAGATGTGGAATATAACTGCTTGTCAGATGAAAAACTAATGGAGTTGTTATGATTCGCAGGCCGATAATGCAAGCAATCTGAAATATCGTTTTGTATATATGCAAATTGGGCAAGATTTTTAATCGGTCATATTGAAAAGTCGACAACAAAGGAAAGTTTTTGATGTCAAGGACATAGAAAAGAATTGATAAACACAAGCTTGCTATCGAAGAATTTATTGTTTTGAATATGTGACCGGCCAATGGCCACTTTGTGTGAAGCTCAGTGTCGGTTCTCCAAAATTGTAGAGATAATTAATGAATTGATATGAATATTAATGAATCTTTAGGTGCAGTAGGAGTCGGACGAAATACATATAAAGGGGCGCTTAGAAAACCTCAAAAAAACAGAAGCCAGGAGAAGTCAGCAGAAGCCAAGAAAAGCTGCAGAAGCCTGGCGGAAAGCAGGAAGAAGTCATGTGACCTGCTGCCAAAAGAATTCTCAACCTTCGTTTTTTTTTTTTTTTTTTTTGTTTTTTTGGAACCCACTCCAAGTTTTAGAAGAAAAAGACAAAGTGTCACTATACGGATTTTAATGGGAATAATTAATTTTGTTGTATTAAGAACTATATAAACCAATTTATTCTTCGTTATTTTGTCATTTTTATTTTCGCCAGCGGAAACGTTCTTTGTCCTTTGTAGCATGGTTTCGCTGCGGTTCAACACAGTGCAAAGTACGGGCGAAATTCGATCTGTGATCAAGGAACACAACGTGGGACAGAAGCAGATGAAGGAACGAAGCGGCAAGCACATAACAATCAGTTGACCGACGGCAGCACTGACCAGCGTGGGAAGGGCCCAAGATCGAGCCGGGTCAGCCGTATTATAATTGGTAACCAGTGACCAGGATAAGGCCCTGTGTGTTATAAATAGGGCCGTGGCGACGGGTGCAACCCAGAAGCCAAAAGAAACTTTAAATATCAACCCAATGACACAGAACAGCGCGATTAAGTAGAGAAGAATGATGAAGAAGGTAATTTTGTTGAAGGAGTAGAACCAACGGATTTTAGTAATTTTGAATGAGGTTCTAAAACTCCACGAAATTTTTTTGTCAAGTTGGAACGACTACAAGACAAATCAGGTGATTGGGAAGACACATTTTTTTCCGTGTTTCTCTCGTGATAATTCTTGCACATCGCCAATAGAATTTTTTTTTCCTGTGACTGGATTTTATCGGATTGTTTCTCTTTTCCCGTGTTGATGGTTAGTTAGGCAAAGAAAATGAGCGAATATAGATGCTAGGCCTGATCGCTCTATAGAGGAAAATGAGGCAAACCAACCTCAGGTATCAGATAAATTCAAAAACCTGTTGGGAGGGATTACCAGACTATGCTTTTAAAAGCGACCCTCGACAATTAAAGAACTGGTTAATGGCAATATGGAAGAAACAGCTCATCTACGAGCTGTCAGAGGTAGAGACAGCACCGTTGGCATATAATGCGGTCAGAATCTCTGAGTTCGTAAGAGGCCACAATAGCGATGAAATTGCCGACTTTAAGAGAGAATGCTGCCATTCAAATTCAGTTGGTGGATTTGTTCGTGGATGTGCTGGAAAATGAACGCATCAGGCACGTCGTGATTAAGGAGGTCCCAATTAGGTTCTTAGTGGCTATAGACCTACCAAAGACAGTGATAAGGTATGAGAAAAGACGGGGAATAGTGGAACGCGGGTTCAAGGTAGGGAAGAGTTAGGCAGCAGGAAGAATAGGGGAAAGAGACACCCTACGTGGAACAAAAGCGTAGGACGGGAAGAGGACCAGATGGCTGGAAAGAAAATATGAATTCTTCGCACCAACACCTGGAAGACACGGGATGGTTAGTTGGACCTGTAACAGAGCAGGTGATTTCCGACAAGATGCGGGTTGCAGGACCAAATTTTTTGGAAGGACCAGGTCGTTCTCAAGGCCAGGAAAATGTCCAGGTCACCCCAGTACAAAAAGGTAAAGAGGAAGGGTGACCCATGTAATAAGAAAAATAGAGAGACCATCAATGGATGAGTGTAAAAATTTGTTCATTTTTTGGAAGGTATCTTTTATTATTTCAATGCACCTTCGGATATCGGCATGAATAATAATAGAATTGTTAACATTCAATTTAGTTTAAATAAATTTCAATTTAGTCTATAATTTGATTATTGAAAATATGTTGTGCAGAAAGACGGATTAACCTTCTCGGCACTTATTATTGAAACATGAACACGTCCATCCGCTACAAGTAAAACGTCTGCTAATAGAACAGGGGCAAAAAGTGGGTCGCAAAGGCGTATCGCTTTCTAGTTATTTCCTTGCAGCACGGAACTCTCAATCCATGTTAATTAAAACCTTATCCCTCATTTTTGTTTCCAGTGGTCTTACTAACCAGAACTATACGAACTTTAGAACAAAACCTATCATTTGTCATGAATTAAGGCCATTATTTTTTAATACCATATTCCTTTATTATGTTGGCGATCATGGCCCTCCACAGAATCCTCTTTTTTATTATCTATTATATCTACATATAATATCTATTATATGGCAATATCAGTATTTTAATATCTATAAGTTGGGATTGGGAATCCAACAGAATGATAAGATAAAGTACAAATATTAATGCCACCTTAATTAAAAAAAGAAAATAATTCTTTAAGGAGAAAGTACATTGAAAGACCAATAATAATAATAATAATAATATCAATTATAAACAGATGTCAAAAACATTATATTTGTTATGGTGAAACACACCTATTCTATAGTTAATAGACTCTCCAACCTAATATAAGTAGGAGTAGTAAGAGAAACGAGGGTGAGTCGACGTTGGACGAAACGAATACGAAAGAAGCGACCACAACAAGATTACTCTGCGTAATACCTATTATATCAAGTTCTAATTTGTACGTCGTCGAACCTATTTTAGGACCGACTTAGTACATATACAAGTCTCCACTGCCAAAATACTCCACAACAATATTACATCACCAACCTTTACTGAGTCCATTCTTAAAGAATCTAACGTATGTTTATCTAAAACAAAGGATATGTACGTAAAAACTTTCCCAAATCAACATCCGAAAAACAATAAACATAATGTATACTACACACACACACACACACACACACACACACACACACACACACACAGAGAGAGAGAGAGAGAGAGAGAGAGAGAGAGAGAGAGAGAGACAATTACGAATATACATTATCATCTGATTCGCACATGGACTAACTAGAATTTTTATACATTTACATACAAATAGCAATATTTAAGGTTTTTAGGGAGGCTTGATTCAGGTAAGTTAATTTCTTGATAATTTGGATGGATGCGTCATCTCTCCATAGATTCAGAACGCCATAAATTATACTAATGCTTGTTTAAAAGAATCGAATGCACGTGATATATGATTAAATGAAAATCAGAGAACACAAAAATAAAACTACCAGAATTTCTTTTTTTTTCTCAGTCTCTAACGAACCTTTAATAAAAGTGAAACATGTCAGAGATTAATAAACATTTCTTATCATTAATATCTATATATTAATATCTTAATATCTTTGTCTGTATTTCTGAGTTGATGTATTGTAACTATTTACACTATTTACATCATTCGGACTGTTGTACTCATTGCCATATTCACCTTCAACATCAGTCTATATTTCTGAGATGAGGTATTGTAACTATTTACACAGTTTATATCATTATGAAGATAAAATTTGAGGGATCAGTTTTTTATTACATAATTCATGGACTTTCATTTATTGCAATTTAAATATCATTTAAGTTTTAATTCTTGATTTAACTGCTAGAAAATATTAACATCTGTCTATATTTCTGAGATGAGGTATTGTAACTATTTGCACTATTTACATCATTTAGACTGTTGTCCTCATTTTTATTGTCATATTCACGACGTTTTGGCGTTGTATGTTCCAGCCTTTTTCGGGTGATATACATTAGAATTTCAAACCAAAGGGACACATGGTCTAGTGGACAAAAGCGTTGGTTGAGCAATCCAAAGAATAACTTGACTGAAAGAGTTGTGAGTTCAATATCAAGCTACAGCAGAGAGAACAAAATCTTAGTGAGCTGAGTTAGTAAAGGGAAATAACTGAAACTGTGATATTCAGAAAAGGCAATGGCAATCTACCCCCCCCGGTGTTCAGTTCAAAATTCCAACGTATATCACCTTGAGGCCGATACGTCGTGAATATGGCAATGAAGATGAGAACAACAGTCCGAATGGGGTAAATAGTGCAAATATTAATATCTATTATATTGCAACGATTTATTGGGAAACATTCTGAAGAAGTTTCTCGTTGCCTCCTCCATAGATTCAGACCATTCCTTTTAGAAGAACTGCCACCCAAGGCTAGAGAACCTCGTCTACCCTGCTATTTAACCCATGACGGAGAATATCTGGATTTATGCTTTTTCCGAGGTCATTAGTGTGTAAGTAAATACCACAGATTCGGTCAGAATTTGAACATGGCTCGCCGGCTCCACTTTTCGCACTGATAACTGTTACACTACCCGCACATCCCAAGGCAATCATTATTGACATTTATTATTAAATTTCACTCATTATAAGGTTCTAGAGCAACTCAAGGTAGAGATTTGAAGTAACAATGATGAATGACGTGCTGGAAAGAAATAGAAGAGAAAGCGGTAGGATGTGAAAATTTCGAGTATAAGGATTTTTAAATATCGATCTCCCAGTAGTAGTCACTCAAGGTAGAGTGTACAAATTAATTTATTTCAAGATGAGGTTGTTTTAAGGTCGTAGTGAGAGGGTCCAAATGTTGTATATTGTGATGAGAAATAACGATTGACCCTCGATTTGAAAAGATTGTAGCGATCGAGGAAGCATCCTCCCGGGAGTCTGTTCCATAATGCAACATTTCTGGTGGTGTCTGAGTGTAACTTCCTCATCGCCATTTGAATATGAAGGATGAGTCGACTCAATTTATGTAATTGTTTTAATAGAACTTTATTCTTAAATTTGGAAGATGTGAAAATGATTCGACTCTGTGAAAGTGGTTGATATGGCCTATTTTAGCTGTAAAAGTCTAAACTGCTGAAACTAAAGAATTATGAAGCATCTATATGTATAGCATTTTTACTATTAATCTTTAAACTACTGTCACCATTTTTAAAATAAAAAAGAAAAATTCACCAATTCTTCACTCGACTTTTAAAAATAAACTTTAATTATTACGAGCGTGAATAGTTTCAAGGGCGATAATTAGGATATAATAATACAGAGTTATTTTTCTTGGTGTCATTCAAATCTTCGGCTATTCCTCGATTTTTTTCGTACTATTGGTGCAAACGGGCTGATTTACATTGCATCTGAAGTTTTGGATTGTTTTTACATTCACAGAAGAAAAGAAATAATGTTCATTGCTCTGTAATTTTAATAGAATAACTGCATATTTGCAAGTTAACGTTTATAGAATAAGAACTGACTATGTGTACGTGTTTAAATAACAATATTTATTCGAATGTAATCTATGATTATATATAGTTTATATTTCGTTATGTTCACATAATGTGTCCGTTGGTTATAACTGGAAATTAACTGATAGCAGTTCTTCTTAGTATTATCACACTCTTTGCAGGGTTTCTTAATAATGCTGCTATCAAGATGATTTCGATTCTTTCTCGAATTTTCCAATCTTTATGTTCGTAGAATTAGGACCGTTTCAAGTATTCCATCAGTGATGGTAATTATTGTCACTTTTCTCTTTTCTTTTTCTAATTCTCTTTACAGGTCTACATTTTTGTCCAGCCTTCCTTTCGATTTCTCTGTGATTTGATGGAATAGTTACATCCGTTACCTGACAATTTCTCTTCTTATAAGATCTGTTCTTTATTTATTTGGATCGATTGATACAGTAATGTAAAAGTCATCAAAAAATTTGTTTTTGCTATCACGACTAGATTATAATTTGTGGTTAGACCATTTCCGTTCCCATAGTCAAATTATTATTGTTAGTAGTAGTAGCACTAGTAGTAAATAATATTTTATTTGAAAATAAACAAAAATACTCAATAGGAGTAAAGAGGTTCGCCTATTGTCCGGTTCACACTCCTCCATGATCTATTGAACAGGACTATTGTTTTTTTCCCTTGTTAGGATTTCTGGTTTCTTTCAAAACATTTTCATCCACTTTCACTTCCACTAGTCCCTTGCATCTTTGTGGAATTATCGCCTTGCTGAGGGGTGAATTGATTAAAAAATAGTTTATTTCTAATACTTAATTTTTTTATAAATAAAATAGATATTATTTGCAAAATCAACCATTTATGCGTTCAGTAAATATTATTGTAAATAAATCTTCAGTCGCAAAGTTAATATAATAAAAATTGCTTTTATTTCTTTAACAAAATTCCATTTGTTAATGCGTAAAATTATATTATATTATAATTGTTAGCCCGAATTTAATTCCTTACACATATAATATATTTATTTGTGGACAACATTTTTCAAAGGTTGATTGCTGTGAGCATTAGGATTTAAAAAAGAGCTGTTTTGCTTCAAACTCAATAGACTAGAATAAAGAATGACAACCTTTGTGTTAGAGAATATTTATTGCTGAGAAAAATCACAAGAAAATATGTATTTTAAGTCAAGACCAACCAAGCACTATTTTTATTATTGTTATTTTTCTATAGCGAAAAAATTTTGTCTGGTTAAGTCAAATTAAATCCATATCTCCTAATGATTCCTTATTAGCAATAAGTAGATTAAATCTTTATACACGATTAATTAATAACGTGAGCTTAATGTCATAAAATATTACGCATAAATTCAGATAATAAAATATCGTCAATAAAAAAATAGGTTAATAACAAAATTCTATCTGTGTTCTCAATTCTACATATTGACTTTTCAAGTGAAAATGAAATTAGAAAATATTGAACAAGTGTTTTTATCTGTCTATATCTCTGAGATGAAGTATTATGATTACTTGCATTATTTACATTATTCGGACTGTTATTTTAAAATATCCCAGCTCTAAAAATGATGATGCATTACCTTATTAAAAATCCGTGCAGTTTTAATTTAACTTTTGCATAAACATAAAAACGCTTACTTGCATTATTTACATTATTCGGACTGTTATCCTCATCTTTATTGTCATATTCACAACGTTTCGTCCGTTGTAAGCTTCAGCCTTTTTCAGGTGATTAGAGTTTCGAACCGAACCCTTTATTTCATCCAACGGGTTAGATTGTTCTAGTTCCATGTGCCATGCCTCTTCTGGATGTCTCGGTTATTTCCCTTTTACTCAACTCTCTAAGTTTTGGTTCACCACTTCTGTGGCGTGGTAATTGAACTCACAACTCTTTGGGTCTAGTTATTGGATCTAACCAACGTTTTTATCCATTGGGTTATGTATCCTTGACAAAGACCGGAACGTACAACGGCCGAAATATGGCAATGAAGATGAGGATAACAGTCAGAATAATGTAAATAATGCAAGTAAGCGTTTATGTTTATGCAAAAGTTAAATTAAAATTGCCCGGATTTTTAATAAGGTAACGAATCATCATTTTTAGAGCTGTGATTGTTTCGTTAAAAATTAAACTTTCTTTAACCATATGAGAAACACTTGACTTTAATTAGAGGAAGTAACTTAATTTTGTACATTCGATTAAAAAGTTAGAACTGATTTAGGTGTAATGATCATTTACTTACACTTTCTTTGAATTCATGGTTGCTACCTTCTTTAATAAGCCTTGCATGAAATATTTTTAATCTTAATGGCGTCCGTCTAGGAACTAAAGAAATAACAAATCTCCCTAGTCCAATTTAAAGGAGAAATAATCGATTTAAATAATCGGTCGACATTTTCTCAGACGAAATAAAAATCTTGCGCATTTTCACGTAATGTTTTAAATGCAACAAATTAAATATTCATCTATTTAAATTTAAAATTTAAAAAATGCTTTGTGTGTGTGTGTGTGTGTGTGTGTGTGTGTGTGTGTGTGTAGAAACTATTTATTTATTGTCCATTTTTCGCAACAATATTCAAATTGATTCTCATCGTAATGTTGCCGTTAATAGAGATCGAGTGATTTTTTGTCGAAATAAGCTTCTCAAATATCTTCCACAGTTGTTTATACCATGCATTCGTATGGTCAAAGCTTGGGGTCTGCGTTGTTGAATGTACTTCAGTCGAGCGTTCGGGTGTGGTTAAGTTA